ATATTTGTGTGGTGATGTGAAGGAGCAGGAGGAAAATGTCTGAAGATGAGGAGGAAAAGCTCGGGGGCCTTGGCCCTCCAGGGAGCCAGCTCCCCCAAGGGCCCCAATGGGAACCCTCATTCCCGAAATCCAAACAGGGCATGGAGATCCTAGCCTATCTAGCCAGGGCCCAAAGCAGCAGCATCGCAGAGCCCCACGGGGTCCGACGCCACCTACCCGACCCACCCCAGAAGAGTATCTCCTCTAGTGTTGTCAAAAAAATCAATACCTAGATTTAAATCAATACTAAAAGTGGTCTCTAAATTAGATATTCCATCCCTGTGGTATCGATATTTGGGAGTCTCACATATACACAGCCTTCTTCAAGTACACCGACACGCACGACAGCCAGATGCCGTAAAGCAGCCTCCGCCTCCCAGACAAACAGAAGAAGAAGACGCCGCATGGCTACATTGCAATTTCCCACGTGAGTTGTCTCCGATCCAAGTTTTGTTAACAGTGTCAACAGCGAATTTGGGAGGCGCTTCACAGCCCAACTTAATTAGCATACCAAGTCCGACACGTAGTTGTATATTCACGCTTGTGTGCTTAAAGGAAAACTCCTGTTTATTGCAACCCAGACTTAATTTCTAGCATGCAGTACGTTTGTTTACTCACGCTGACAACTTTGGTGCTACTTGGATTCCCCGGGGTATTTAGATCCATCGGCGAATCGCCATCAGTGTATATCCATATAACGGGTGCGGACGGGCACCCATGGTGCAGCCTCGAAATAAGACATTATCTGCACCAAAACATCTTCATGTCGAAAGGTTTTGTTAGGAATCATTAACGTGATTCCCCTGTTCGTTTGGAGCGAGTCTGGGATTTCTAGGCGTGAACAGACTAGCTGCGGCTAATTAACCGGCGCTTTTAATGACGTCACTGCCGTGCGCCAGTCTGTTTTTATTAAGATTACTGGTAGATGTACCTTTGTCCTACTGTGGAGAAATTTGTTTTCTCCCTTTATTGACCAACAGAGTTGTTCAAAAGTACAGAACGAAACATATGGCATTACATCTTATGACAAAAATGCACCTTAAACAGAGTTTAAGCAGCAAAACATCACTCTGCAAATAGTGTATATATAGAGAGACAATTCATGATTTAAAGTGTTAACTTTTGCCAGTTTTTGTATGCACGTTTTGAAAACTGCTGATACTTGAAGGTTTTAGCGCTTTATACACTTAATTCTTAACATTTTATTTTTGCAATATAAATTGAGGAATGTTATTTTTTGAATAAACTTGTTCAATAAATTGGTGTTTTTAAATAGTATCGAAATCGAGTATAGAGTTCTTTTTCCAGTATCGAATCGAGTTTGAAATTTTAGTATCGTGACAACCCAAATCTCCTCCCATCCCCACATTTGGTCAACTTCCAGACTACGTAAGACATAGAGACCCACCCACTAACTGGTGTGGTACAGAGCCCTCCAGACAGGATGGTGTTTCAGTCCTTCAGCTGTTCTCATGAGCACATCAGCAGCCTGACATCCAATAGCTTCTCTGTGGTTCTGGGACTCTAGATGGAGGTCTGGCAGCTGCTTCTGAAACTTTCTGGTTTTGGTTTGGGAGTTGGATTCTGCTGCTTTACTTCCACAGCAGTTATTGAGGAGGTAGACATCTAATGTGACTTCGGCCTCTTTACTGTGTGGAGAGTTGAGCTGAAAGTTAAATGTCCAAAAAATACAGTTTTTCTTGAGAAACTAGAAGAAAAAAATGTCTACCTCTGTCTAATCATAGGTGTGTGTGTGGCCAGGTGAAGCCCCGCCCCAACACTTTTTACACATTACTGTTCTCCCACAGATGCAGATGGAACCGGATCATGTGGTGTCTGTAAGACTGATCCTGAGACAGCCGTCCTCTGCCTGGCTGACCTTTAACCTGGAAGAAATCCAAATATTCCCACACATGGAACCAGTGAGTTTTATTCCGTTAACATTAAACAGTTGAAATGTTTTAGAGTCAGATAAACTCAGTTTGTCCATTTAGGTTTTAAGTGTCACACATGCAGTTTCCTTCATCATCAACATCTGAACTGTCGGGACAAACCAGAACTTTATTAGGTGAACTAAACGTTGACGCTGCAGCAGGTCTCGATTTCCTGAAAACAGCAGCAGAAAAAAAGACCTACCAGAGACTTGGTGACCCCTAACCAAACAACACAAGTATCTTCTGATTTGGCCACTCTCCCTTTTGACCTCAAGCAGTGTGTTACCAACCTTGGGGTGAAATTTGATACACAGTTTTCCATGGGCCCTCAGATTAATGCAGTGGTCAGATCGTGTTTTTATCAGCTGCGCAGACTAGTCCGCTTAAAACCGATCCTGAAACGAGCACACCTGGAATCCGTAATCCATGCTTTTATCATCTCTCGACTGGATTATGCAAATTCCATTTTAATTGGTTTACCTGCCTCCGCTCTTAACAGGCTTCAGGTCGTACAAAACGCGGCAGCCAGGTTTTTAACAAACACTCCTAGGAGAGAACATATCACACCTGTACTGGCGCAGCTCCACTGGCTACCCGTAAACTTTAGGGTCAAATTTAAAATCCTGATTTTTGTTTTTAAGGCCCTGAACGGTCTAGCACCGGATTACCTGTCGGATCTTGTCACTAGATATGTGCCAAACCGGGCGTTGAGGTCTGCTGATTGCCTGCTGCTTCGTGTTCCATTAATGAAATACAAAACGCGGGGGCAGCGTGCTTTTGTCTATGCTGCTCCGACATTATGGAATGCACTTCCTCTTTCAGTGAGGCTGGCACCATCCCTCCTCCAGTTCAAATCGCTGCTGAAGGCTCACTTTTACGACCAGGCATTTTTAAATCCCTGACTTTTATTATTTTATTATGGGTCTTTTTATTGACTTTAATTATCTGCCTTGTTGTGCATTTTATTGTTGACCGTGTATTGTTTTATATTGTGTTTTTACTTTTTATTCTGTACAGCACTTTGGTCGGCTGCCATGCCGTTTTTAAATGTGCTTTATAAATAAAGATGGTATGGTATGGTATGGTTTGCTGTAACAACACCAGCTCCAACACGTCCGGCACGTCTGCAGCTGTGTCCTTGTCCAGGCTGGGCTTAGAGACACGAGTCCAGGACTCCTGTAGGAAACAGCTTCATGCTTCTGTCAGAAGAAAGACAACTTCATTAAATTCATCCAGACTTGCTCCTGCTGCAGATCTTAGATGTTCTTATCACACTGGTCCCGAACCAGACGCGTTCCCCGCTGACAGCATTCCCGGGAATTTTCCTGCAGAAACAGGAAGTGTTCTGAGTTGATAAGAGCTTCAGTCTGGACATTAAACATCAGCTGATGAAGAAAGTGTTTGTTCAAAGAAATGGAAACAACATCTACTCACATCCAGGTTTGATTTTCCTCAAACGGAAGAGCAGCAGAGTCAGAGAGGAGGTCCTAGGTGGAGAAGATCGAAGTTCACGTTTACCTCTGAAGTGGAGACTAGGGAAGGAGAACGCCGGATCATCGGCTTTCAGCTCACAATCCAAACATCTGCTGGTGTTACGTCCCCGACATGAGATGGTAAAATGTGAAGGATGGGGATAACATAAAAACTGGACAGTGGATATTAAAAGGGTTTTATTGTTATAAAAAGGTTCTAAAAACGAGAAAAACAGACAACGAGCATTATAAAGATAATGCAACACACACAAACTCAAAAAGGTTAACGTTAAAAGACGAATGATCAACTATTAAAACACCTGGTTAAAACTTAGTTAAAAGTTAAACCGCAACGAAGGTGTTTAAAACCGAAGTCAATCATATTTCCACAAACAAAGTTAACCTTTAAAACAAACAAACACAAGATCCACAGGATCACTCAAGAGTTTAAACTATAAAGTTAAACTCATCAAAACAAAGGAACGAACGAACGAACGAAGGGGTTAAAACCAAACGAATCATGGAGAACAGCAGAACCCCTGCACTGCTGTCTCCCAGACTGCTGAAGGCACAGCTCTTTTATCCCAGGTGTTGGTCATCAGATGGATTCAGCTCAGCTGTGCTCCTCAGCTGCCTGGAAGGGGGGAGGAGGAGGGACAGTGTCCGGTCAATCACCAGGGCTGGGTGATCCTGGCTGCTTTTTCCCTCTTCAGGCTGGCAGCCGTGACAGCTGGAATCTACTGATTCTAGCTGCTTCAGAACCATGGCGACTCCTGAGTGTGTTCTGATACCAGAAACATCAAGCTGCTTCTTTCCAGCAACAGAAAATATCTGAGATCATTTGCATTTTATCTGCTGGTCATGTCTGATTTGTGATGGATGGTAAATGGCCTGTTTTCATGTAGTTCTACGACCCCCCAAGGCGCTTCACAACACAATCAGTCATTCACCCATTCACACAAACGTTGGTGGGTATGAGCTACAATGTAGCCACAGCTGCCCTGGGGTACACTGACGGTAGCCAGGCCTGCCAAGCACAGGTGCCACCGGCCCCTCCGACCACCACCAGCAGGCAAGGCGGGTTAAGTGTCTTGCCCAAGGACACAACAGCAGCATTTTCTGGTCGGAGCCAGGATCCAACCTGCAACCTTCCGATTACTGGACAACCCGCTCTACCTCCTGAGCTGCTGCTGCCCCGGATGATGACATGGATCAGACAGGTGGACCATCATTACGTTTGATGTTGAGTGAAATTAAAAGGTTTTAGTCAGAAGTCAGCAGAACCTTCTGGATCACTTATTCTGCAGCTTCCCACTGTAACCCCCTCTGTCAGAGCAGCTGTGGCTACGATGTAGTTTATCACCCCAGCGTGGGAATGGATGAAGGATGAAATGCTTTGGAGTCCTCTGTCATTAATCTGGAGTCCAGATAAACAATAAATTAACTTCCTGAGTTTATGCTTCATGTTTAAAAATCTGCAATCATCCCTGTTGCTTTTTTTTCTCAGGACACAAAGAAGGAGGCTTCTGATTGGTTGTCTGACTTGATCCTCGTGGATGAACATCCTGATCTGGAGGTCAGAAATTCTGGAGGACTTTTTGTACATTTTATTTCATCAATCATCAACTTCATCAGAGTTTGTTTTCATGTCACCTGTAACCCTGGTTTTAAAATCACTCAATCAATCAATGATTATTGATCCCAGAGGGAAATTAGAGTTTCAGTACACACAATTCAGGGATCAGACATACATGGGCAAGACACTTGACAATAATTGGTGACTGTGGTCATTCGCAACCCTGAGTTGCACTACCTTAATAGAGATAAGAGGGTTACATGAGGATTGGTTCAGGTGGAGGGAAAAAAAGGCACTTCAGAGTTACCCTCCACCGGGAGGGCAGCTTTGCTCTGCAAAAAAAATACATATATGCAACAGACTTCAGACCACACAACATAAGTGTCCACTAGGTGGGGTGGTGGGTTGGGACTATCCCTACTTCAGTTCCTGCAGCCACGATAGAAGCAGCGCATGTCACCTCAGTGACCCTGGAATGTTTCAGGGGCCTTCCCGCGGTCCCTCCCTGGCTGGGATAGGAGACAGAGTTGAGTTGCCAAATGAAACTCTTCCTGTGAACAAACATTACTGATGAGGAATTAAAGAAAACTAACAGCTGATGAATGTCCTGCAGAGTCTCCCAGACCCACAGACCGTCTCCTCCAGCATCCAGCAGATGTGGGCTCTGACTGAGGTGATGCAGACCAACCAGACCACCGTCTCCATCGGACGCTTCGACGTGAGTCTCCTAGTCTCAGTCCAGTCTGGCTTGTAGAGACAAACTGGGGGGGGGGGTTCATGTTTTCGATGCTCTCTGATTGACTGACTGATATCTGGATGACATCACATATGAGATGTTTGCTCACCTCTAGCAGACGTGATGATGATCCAGCACTAAAAACATGCATTGATACTTTCAGCTTCAGCTCTTTTCACTCTGGAGAGAGACCACATGTTTGCGGTTGGGTTTTTACTGATGAGACCCAGAATCTTCCAGTTGTCAGTTAATTATTCTAGATTTTAGTTACAGGACCAGGCATGGCCTCTCTGTGTGCACACTCACATAATAGGTGTTAACTTTGGATCCATTCAGTCAAAAACCACCGAATCTGGAACACAAACCCAGATGATTCTAAAGTTCCAGTAAAAATATTACGAGAAACTTTCTCAGCGGTTTGTGAGCGAATAAAAACAGCGTGTGTGTTTTTGTTCCAGGTGGGTGGAAGCTACGATATCAACCTCCTGTCTCTGACCTGATGTGACCTTGAACTGGATTTTTGTGTTCCACCATCAGGACCATCCTAGAGCCCACTATCACCTCATATCAAAATGTTTGTTTATAAATGAGTTTTAAAGCAATTATTCGGAGAACATCCGGGACTGCTTCACAGTTTCTCCTCGGCCTGCAGAGACTTTCTAACTGTAGAAGGTGGATCAGAGTCTAGAGGTCTGTGATGTCAGCAAGAGGTGACCGTCTGTCTGCTGTGTGTAATACTTGCTGTGGACACACGGGGGCAGCAGAGATATTTGAGTTGATTCCTGGTTGATTCTACGACGAAGAACAGAAACAGGTTTAACATCTGAGGCCCTGTCCACACGTAGCCGGGGATCTGCCAAAACGTAGATATTTTTCTAGGTTTTGGCCTGTCATCCACACGAAAACGGAGTTTTTTCACACGAAAACGGATCTTTTTAAAAACTCCGGCCAAAGTGAAGATCTGCGTTTTCTCCGTTTTGGGTGTCTGCGTGTGGACGGACAAAACCGGAGTTTTAAGGTCCGCAACGTCACTTTCCGCGACAAAAAAATGCTGACGTCACGTGTGCGACCTGTGTTTACACTAGCCGGCAACATGGAAGCCTTCAGAGCTGCGCTCTGTCACTACCCGATCCATCAATTGTCCAAGCGCTTTCTGCTTGTTTGTTTTTACAAGCGGAATTACTGCTCCTTGCGGAAGACCACAGACGAAGGACGAGGTTAAGAACGGGGGAAGTACTGCCGCCTACAGGTCTGGCATGTCCTTAACAACGTATTTATCTGGGTACGTGTGGACAGAGTTTGTTTTTAAAACGCGGTGGTGTGGATGCAAGTTTTTGGAGGGGCGGATATTCGTTTTCAGAAAACCCCGGCTACGTGTGGACTAGGCCTGAGATAAACACAAAGATCACTGGGCTCTGATTACTGATTTATGCATCATTGTTCTGTAAACATTTCAGCTTTAATTTATTCATTTAATCACATTTCTGTTTGAAAAACTCAATTAAGGCTTGACCATATTCAGATTAGGTGACTTAGATATTTAGAACGTTTGAACCAACGTGGGACTAACAAACACGGGGAGTAGTAAGTGTGGATTTTAACATCCAGGGTGTCTTTGCCTCAGAGTCCTGGTGGAACCATCTAGAGAACACAGAGTAGACTCCTGTAGAATTTTTATTTACTGTTTTGGTTTGTTGTGGGATTTTGTCATTAGTGAGTTAAATAAAGCAATGAGCAATAGTCCTTCAAACACTGATGCTTTATAGGGTAAAGAGCATTCCTTATGCATGTACTCAGATAATAGATCATTCTGGTGAAGCAGGAAAATGAGAATCAGGTACAAAAGTTTGTTTAAATCAGTAATCCAGTTTAGAAGGTGAAGCTAGTCTATCAGACAGACTCGTTCCATACATCCAGATATTTCAGCCTTTATTTGCTTTAACTGTGGTGAATGTGGCTCACAGCTGATAACAACCCCACATTCAAAACTTCAAGGAATTTAAACTGAGAAATGTTGGACCTCTGTAAAGGTAAAATCATACACAGGTCTTATGTGATCGGCGTGTGTGTGTGTATGTCTGTGTCTAATCCAGAAGACTTCTTGCTGAGACCTCCTGCAGCCTAATCAGAAAGATGGGTTAACCCTCACCCAAAAACATCTTCACCTAAAGCTTTAGGTCTCGTCCTCTCAGCCTGGAGGACATAACAGTTTGGGCAATTTAAGATCTGATTAGAGGCATTTCAAGAATAAACTTCATTATTGCTTCATCATTACTGTAAAGCAGTCAAGACATCAATTCACTTTACATAAAACATTCATTAGAACATGATTGTAATAACCTGTAAAGGGAGGAATTCATTGAATGAGACCAGATGAGATTATTTTATTAAAGTCTTGTCTTCTGGAGGACCTTGTGGCTTCCAGACACACGTGAGCAAGGCAGGAGACCAGCCTTGTTCTGACGATTCCCAGACGGCGAGGTCAGAACCGGGACGTGTTTTGGACTGGAAAGCACAACGCATTCTGGGCAGATGAAGCTGAGCAATTCAACGTCTGGTGACCTTAGACAGCTTTCTGACACAATAAAAGCACACGCCACCAAGATGCTGAGCAGCTTTTATGCTACAGCCATCGCTGAATGGAGGTCATAAGAACGACACCAGGGGCTTATGGGATACACTAAACAGCATTCTGAATACAATGAGGGAGCTAAATTACCCTCACTACTTTATTAGCATCAGTACCATAAAGGAAAGTAATAAGGATGTTGGGTAACATTGGACAAAAACTTGCTGATAATGTTCTTCATACAGGCTCATCAGAAAACTGGAATGACCAGTTAATAGAGAGGAATCCTATTGTCCTAACTCCTGTAGATGTTGTAGATACTGTCAGAATATGTTATGATTTAGATATGATGATTATTATCAAGGTTGTCTCACAGCCTCTCTGTAACGTCGATCCAAACGGGTCGATTTCCAAAACCTAAGGAAAAGAGCCAAAGTGGTTCCATGGTTTCAGTCCGGGACAAACGTTGCTTTACAAACTACAGGCCTGTCTCACCACTCCCACTATTCTCAGAAATTCTTGAAAATTTGCTTGATGAAAAATTTGAAAAATACATAAAAACGAATACGTTACTCTACGACCATCGGTTTGGTTTTAGAACAGCTCAACCTCGCTGGCTAGGATGGACGTGATGGAGGAACACACAAATGCTGTAGATCATAAGGAGCGTGCTGTAGGATTATTCCAGCCTTCGACATGGTAACGTACCAACGGGTCAAGTTTCACCTACATATTGACCACAAGATAGCCTTTCGATTGCAGACACAAACCCACTGTCTGTCTGGCCTCCAAATCCAGAAAGTTCTGCTCAGTTCTTGTTTCTGTACAAGACAAAACGAAATCACTCAAGGCCTCTGCAGACTGCTGCATTCCTCACTCTGAATAAACCTACTCAACATTCCTACGTGACTTTACAGTTATAAGTTACAATAATCATATGTGTTGAATGAACAAGATGTTTAAATCAAATGTTTGAATAACCCGTGCTTAGATCGAGAGAGAGAGAGGGATTCAGGTGGATGTTCTGACCCGAGTGTGTTCAGCAGTTTTATTTTCCTTATCTTTGGTGACAGATCCTCTGATAATAAAACATGTTTAAACTGTTTCCTCCTGACAGAAAACTGAATCCAAAACCAAGTTTTCAGAGTGAAATTTAATTTGTTTTCATGTAATAAAACACCTTCTCATTTGTTCCCACAGCCATCCTTTAAAGTTTCCTCCTCGGTGGCTCCTCAGCTCTGCTGCCCTCCTAGTTGGAAATCTGATTTGATCTTTGCAGCACCACATCAGTCGTGCTGCTGAGCGATGCTCCTGCAGCGTTGCGCTACAGAGTCATGAATCATTTACCCAGATGAGGCTGTGACAGCAGAGCCCTCCTCTAACACCCAACAGAAAGGAAACGCGAACGCCACACTAACGGGAATTAATGACTCCAGAAAAGAGGGATCTGAGTGTTTACACACAACCAGGAGGTCAGAGGTCATCTGCAGCAGGTCCAATGATAAATGATCTAATAGATCCTGATTATTAAAGTCCAGTTGTTCAGACAGCAGCTGGATCTTTATTCTAAAATATTAAATGTTGAATTTACAGAAATACTTTCATTCTTCTGACATCAAACTGAAACAGAAATGATGATGGAGGGACGAGGATCGGGTCTTTCTGTCTCTTTTGTTTGTTTCATTTGGTTCTGGGTCAGAATCAGCTGAAATTTTTATAAAAACCGGAACAAAAACAATCACTGCTCACTCAGAATAAAGTGTTGGTTCCATCCTCCCATCCATCTATCCATCAATTCTCTTCTGCTCATCCAGGAAGCCCAGACTTCTCTCTCTCCAGCCACTTTGGGCCAGCTCTTCTGGGGAAACCCCAAGCCGTTCCCAGGCCAGCTGAGAGACATAGTCCCTCCACAGTGTCCTGGGTCTATCTTTAGGTCTCCTTCCAGTTGGACGTGCCCAGAAAACCTCACCAGGGAGGCATCAGGAGACATCCTGACCAGATGCCCGAGCCACCTCAACTGGCTCCTCTTGATGTGGAGGAGCAGCGGGTCTACTCTGAGCCCCTCCCTGATGACCAAGCTTCTCATCCTATCTCAAAGAGAGAGCCCAGCCACTCGTTTCAGCCACTTGTATCCGTGATCTCATTCTTTCGGCTCGTGACCATAGGTGAGGGTAGGAACGTAGATCGACCAGTAAATCGAGAGCTTTGCCTTCTGGCTCAGCTCTCTCTTCACCACGACAGATCAAGTGTTGGTTTAGTTGTTTAGTCTTTTGAAAGCCAGATGAACTCTTTAACCAGCAGGTCAAACCCTGGAGCCGCTGATTTCTGTCCCTACTTCTGAGACAGTCAAAAGCTGTAAAACATGTTTGGATAAAAACTGAAACACTAACATATTACATATTTATTTCACAAATTAATTCAGTTATATAATTATCATATAAAACCTTACTGCTCAAAATGAATAAAGCACATTTTCTACGGCTTGTTTTTCTTGAAGGTTTGAAATACTAATAAATAACAATTTAATAAAGTTCCTTCACTTCATGACTTTACCAGCTAAAGTTTAATCTGTTTACAGTCTACATTCATCTCTGGTTTCACAAACACCTCTGAGTTCAGATCATCTCTAGCATTTATGAAAGGTTTCAGCCGTTTCTGCTGTGAGCCGCTAGAAATGAAAGCATGTCATCAGAACAAAAATACTTCATTTTTCTCCTATTTGGAACAGAAATCATTTTGTTTTGAATGGATGCAAATCAGAGCTCAATCTGTCGGATCATTGATGCTGAAAGAGGAAACAAGCTGAACTCTCAGATTAATATGCAAACAGAGTGAGGAGAAAAGGTTGCTGCTGGGGTGCTTCAGACTGCAGCTGCTGACGGAGGCCGTAAAGACGACTGATGGCGGTCATAAAGAGGAAAATAAAACCCAGCTCTGACCTCAGAACCCGCCCAAAACTTGAATCACATCAACTGTCTGGAGACGAATTGTCATAAAAAATCTACAAATAACTTTTACTAGATTACAGACTTCTGTCAGCTTTTGTTCCTGAAGAGTCCAGTTCATGAAACTCGTCTGGAAAACTCGGAATGTGCAGCAAAAAGGATCATAGTAAAAGCTGATCCAGAGTTTATCCAGAGCGTGATGGTCCACGGAAGTGGATGGGTTCTGGTTCTGAAGTGTTCTGATGATCAGACGGGTTTTATGTGCGAGAATCCCAACAATAGGACATTGATGCAGTGCTTGGTGCAAGAAAAAACAAACGCTAAGCAAAAATTAGAATTAGGAAATAAACACAATGATGTTAATACAACGAGACAATAATTAGAGAAGCAGCTACTTTATACAAGTCAGTGTAGGTTCTGGTCAGAGCGGGTCAGTTCTGGTGCAAACACAACACAGGGTCATGTGACTGGAACAAAGCAGCTGGAGTGGGCGGGCCTACGATTGTCATTCATGAGTCCAACTGCAGAGGGGAAGACACTTTTTTTGTGGCGAGAGGTTCTGGTCCAAATGGATTGGAGCCTCCTGCCAGATGGGAGCGAGTCGAAGAGACTGTCCAGGGTGAGATGGGTCAGCACGCCTCAGTGTCCTGGAGGTGTACAGGTCCTGCATGGAGGGGAGAGACCAGAGCCGGATCCCATCAGATTGGCATCAGCAGCAGAAACCAACTGCAGCTGTTTGGATCGTAAACATGCTGACTGGGTCTGGCACGCCGCTAATGAGGTTATTTATGCAAATGAGAAACGCACTGGGCTGGAGCAGGAAAACGTTTCTGATAGATTTCAGGCTGTTGAGTCTAAACGAGAATGGAGGCATGAAACCGGTTCTGTTTCTGCAGGTTTCACATCAGAAACGGGGCCGGTTCTCAGGATGGAACATAAACCAGCCACACAGGAAACTCAGCTGATTTAGCATCGGCCCTCACGCTCCTGACCTGAACATCAGTCTGGTCATCACACAAGTCTGGGTCTGGTCCGGAACCCGTCTCAGTTTAGTTTCTGGGTCAGAAAACAGAGGAAAGTGAGAAGACTCTGGAAGAAACTGTCAACAAACTAAAACAAAATGATAGATTTTTATTTAAGGTGGGTTTTTTTCCTTCCTTTTTTGGGTAATTTAGTGACAACGTTTTAGATTTCATCACATTTTAATTTGTCTTTTATCCTCCATCAGA